TGGGTCGGCTGCCACCCCCTCAAAGTCATCTGAGTCGGTTGCTGTTGCCTCCACGTTGCCTGTCGCCTCCATGTCGCCTGGATCATCGCCCGTCGCCTCCATGTCACCTGGGTCGGCTGCCGTCGCCTCCATGTCGCCTGGGTCGGCTGCCGTCGCCTCCATGTCGCCTGGATCATCGCCCGTCGCCTCCATGTCACCTGGGTCGGCTGCCGTCGCCTCCATGTCACCTGGGTCGGCTGCCGTCGCCTCCATGTCGCCTGGGTCGGCTGCCTTTGCCTCTTCGTCCCCTTTGTCACCTGTGTTCGCCGTCACCGAGGCTCCTGCTCCATCAGCCTCTGACGGCTCCTCATCTGCTCCCGCCTCCTCCCTTGGCTTGGGGCACTCTCTGGAGAGTTTTCTGGATGTCCCCCTGGACTTCTGTGTTTTTTGTCCCGAGTTCCCCTGTCTCGTGTTTGTGTTCCTCATGTCCTGTGCCTCTCCCTTTTCGACGTAAGGAGCCGTCGTTAAGAGGGGGGTACTGTCATAGTCTGTATTCATTTTCCTAGTGTTTTCTATGTTCCCCAGTGTGTCTCTGCCCAGCTGCCCCACATTACCTTGATTATCACCCTTGTGTTTCTCCTCAGGTGTTTTCTGTTTAGTCATTAGTTTTCTGTGTATTTAAACGCTGTCCTGTCTCAGTCTTATGGTCGGATCTTTGTGTTTTGTTCCTGAGCTTAGTCTCCCTTGTGCCTGTGTTTTTGAGAACCTGTAAGTGATTTTTGAGCTGCCTCAACAGCATTTTCTGTTATTTAATAAATATTTTTGTTCCTTTTTTGAACCTGCCTGCGCCCTGGGTCTGTCCCTACCAAATCCTCACATACATGACCAGTACACATCTGTCCAGAATCTTATCCATGACCAGTACACGTTTGTCCATAGTTCTATCCATGACCAGTACATGTCTGTCCGTAGTGCTAAGCATGACCAGTACACGTCTGTCTGTAGAACTATCCATGACCAGGACACATCTATCCATAGTCCTCTTCATGACCAGTACATGTCTGTCCATAGTACTAACCATGACCAGTACACATCTGTCCAGATTCTTATCCATGACCAGTACACGTTTGTCCATAGTTCTATCCATGACCAGTACATGTCTGTCCGTAGTACTGACCATTACCAGTACGCGTCTGTCCAGATTTCTATCCATGACCAGTACACTTTTGTCCATAGTCCTATCCATGCCTAGTACACGTCTGTCCGTAGTACTAACCATGACCAGTACACATCTGTCCATAGTCCTATCCATGGCCAGTACACATTATCCGTAGCCCTATCAATAACTAGTACACATCTGTAAGTAGTAGTAACCATGACCAGTACACATCTGTCCGTAGTCCTATCCATGGCCAGTGCACATTATCCGTAGCCCTATCAATGACTGGTACACATCTGTAAGTAGTAATAACCATGACCARTACACATCTATCTGTAGAACTAACCATGACCAGTACACGTCTTCCCTTAGTACTATCCATGACCAGTACACATCTATCCATAGTCTTCTTCATGAACMGTATGTCTCTGTCCGTAGTACTAACCATGACCAGTACGCATCTGTCCAGATTCTTATCCATGACCAGAACACGTTTATTCATAGTTCTATCCATGACCAGTACACGTCTGTCCGTAGTACTAAACATGACCAGTACACGTCTTCCCTTAGTACTAACCATGACCAGTACACGTCTGTCTGTAGAACTATCCATGACCAGTACACACCTATCCATAGTCTTCTTCATGAACAGTACATGTCTGTCTGCATTACTAACCATGACCAGTACACATTTGTCTGTAGTCCTATCCATGACCAGTACACGTCTGTCCGTAGTACTAACCAAGACCAGTACACATCTATCCGTAGTCCTCTTCATGACCAGTACATGTCTGTCCATAGTAATAACTATGACCAGTACAAATCTGTCCAGATTTCTATCCATGACCAGTACATGTTTGTCCGTAGTCTTATCCATGAATAGTAAAAGTCTGTCCGCAACACTAACCATGACCAGTACACGTCAACCAATATAATTAACCATGACTAGTACACGTCTGTCTGTAGAAGTAACCATGACCAGTACACGTCTCTCCGTAGTACGAACCATGACCAGTGCATGTCTGTAGAGAGTCCTATCCATGACCAGTACACATCTGTCCAGAATCTTATCCATGACCAGTACACATTTGTCCATAGTTCTATCCATGACCAGTACATGTCTGTCCGTAGTGCTAACCATGACCAGTACACATCTGTCCGTAGTCCTATCCATGACCAGTACRTCTGTCCGTAGTACTAACCATGACCAGTACGCATCTGACCAGATTCCTATCCATGACCAGTACACTTTTGTCCATAGTCCTATCCATGCCCAGTACACGTCTGTCCGTAGTACTAACCATGACCAGTACACATCTGTCCGTATTCCTATCCATGGCCAGTACACATTATCCTTAGCCCTATCAATGACTAGTACACATCTGTAAGTAGTACTAACCATGACCAGTACACGTCTGTCTGTAGAACTATCCATGACCAGTACACATCTATCCATAGTCCTCTTCATGACCAGTATATGTCTGTCCATAGTGCTAACCATGACCAGTACGCATCTGTCCAGATTTCTATCCATGACCAGTACATGTTTGTCCGTAGTCTTATCCATGACCAGTAAAAGTCTGTCCGAAACACTAACCATGACCAGTACAGGTCAACCAATTTAATTAACCATGACTAGTACACGTCTGTCTGTAGAAGTCACCATGACCATTACACGTCTCTCTGTAGTACGAACCATGACCAGTACATATCTGTAGAGAGTCTTATCCATGACCAGTACATATCTGTCCATGGTAACCATGACCAGCACATCTGTTGAGAGTCCTATCCATGACCAGTACACATCTGTTCGTAGTACTAACCATGAACAGCACACGTCTACCTATAGTACTAATCATGACCAGCACACGTGTACCTATAGTACT